CACAGCTCGAACAACCAGCCCTGTGAGCAACGTGGCAGAGGCGATTTCGTTCGCCTCATGTCCCTGTTACTGGCTCCTCTCGGTTGAATTCATGATTAATGCCTGTGACGCGCGATTTGATATAAAACCTGACACCGTCCGCCGTCAGTTTTGCCAACTAACGAGCGCGTCGCGCTTACCTTATCCATACCTCGCCATAAATCTCTGCGGGCGGCTTTGATTTATGTGTCTTTTCGTGTCCCTCCCCGGTACGATCTCTTCTGTCCCGCCTCGCCTTTTCTCCGCGGAACGGACGTCTTTTGTGCGCTTTCGATCGCAATAACGTAAAACGCGTCGAGAGCGAGTATTTATCTTTGACGGAATTAAAAATTTCCTCGAAGACCAAAGGAGGCGCTTTTCTACGCGGACTCTGGTCGCCGAGACCTTTTCACGCGATTTCCTCGAGCGTTGCCACGTCGCGAGTCAGGCTCGTTCCCCGTGAATTATGATCACCTGGCGTCGACAAATTAGCCGCCTCGCGCGGCTCCGATCGGTACGCGCGCCGCCACCGCCGCCGCCGCCGCGCTAACTCCTCTGCCAGCTGGAGAGAACGCGATGTTTCCCGTGACGAATCGACCGGCTTCGCGTACCGAAATGATTTCTCATTTAACTCTTATCCGGCCCGGTTACGCTAACCTTGCGAGAGATCTGGACGGGCGTCCGGGTGGAATGAAAGGTTTCAATTATGTCTCGTTATCCCGAGTGACTGTGTTTTGACAAGATGAAGGGAATTTTCGCTGTGTCATTTTTCGAGCCATGTCTCGGTGTATGAGAGCGGAAGGTCGTCTTCTGATCACACGTTTAAATTCAATATTTTTTATAATGATCTCTGGTCATCGATAGGGTGCCGTGTGATCCGGGGGAGGTAATATAATTCGCGAATTCCGCATGCGGTTATCTATAATCGGGGTACGAACGGTTAAGTAGGAATTAGATGCAGATGAAGTACTAATGACAATATTATGCTGATCAACTGATCACTGGTTGCACGCGATACACGATACTAAAAATACTCGTCGATCACCTCGTTACTTTCGCAATAACAGCCGGTGGCCCCGAACGTTTCCACGATTTCCATACAAAATTATCGGTGTGCTTCCCATCGCGATCCGCATTGTTCCGCTTGGGAATTATGCAGCGTCCATATATACGAGTATAGCTGCGTCAATGGCAGAATTAACGACGTGCAAACGGTTCACACAGTCCCAGAAATAATTCGTGTCATAATAGAAGATAATGCTTGCTGCGAAATTTGTTTTTCTAATTGGCTCTTTTTTCTTCCCTCTTCGCTGCTTTGAAAATGGTCGATTTCGTACGCAGACAAGAACGCACGCATTTATACGAGCGTGCAAGTCATGGGTGAAAGGATCCGTTGACAGGCTGGACAGCTTAATTGGTTAAAGCAGCGCCGGGCACGGGTGAAAGAAAAATTCGTGTTCGAATCTGAGCTCGGAACTCCAATCGGTCGAGCCTCCTCTTTGCGTAACGTCCCTTCGTAGTTTGTTTTCGCACGTGATTCATCAACGGCTGTAAAAAGTCTCCCGCAATCACAATATATTTCATACTTTTTATACGGGCTGAATCGACGCGAAGTACTTGGCGTACGATAAAGTTTTTTTTAACAAATAGAGGTCACTTTAAGTTTTTTTTTAAAATAATGTTTCCCCATACTCTTTCTCGAATTTCAATGGAACACCAAAGTCTCGGTAACGAAGCATTATACCAAGTAAGTGCATCTTGTTTGAAACATGTCTGAAGAAATGTTTCCCTGTTTCGCCCACATTTTAAAAAAGAGACTGAAACGAGGTGGAAGCCTGGATTTGCATACGAGATGAGTAAATCATAAGCCGAACAACGCCGCCAGCGCGAGAGGCAGCGTCGAGCGTATTCCCGGCTGAAAGGCGAGGCCCTTTAAAACTGATTCATTGCACGATCCATCCTGCTCCGGGTCCTCTGCTCTCGGGACGTCCGAGATATCCCGCGAAAACGTTCCTTAATGGGAAATTATAGCGCGAATGGGCGAAGGGAAAGCATCGTCTTCATCGCAGATCGAGAACGGTCGGCGATCACGTAGAGGGAAGGCGAGGCCGGGAATAATAAAGCGGAGGCTCGTTCCCGCGGCGATGGCGCAGCATCGCCGTTCGAAAACGCGATAATTTCCTGCTTCGTAGGTCGCGTTGCAGGGCCAGGTTTTAAACGCGTCAATATGCGGCTCACGTTGTCGGCCGACGATTAACGATCGATCGATCGAACGAATTGCGCGTGACTGTGTTCCGATATTAAAGCGAATGGGATTCGCTCGGATCGCGACGGCTCGTTCGGCCACGTGGGCCGATTAATAATCCAAAAGGTGTACACGGTTTCACTATTCCGCTCCGAGTGATGTATTGTTTCGTCTCCATGGATGGCCACGCGCGCCTGTATGCGAACATGGTGTTTAAGATGTTAAGTACTTTGTGGGAGGCGTGGGTGATCGCTGAGTGCACTCAGGATTAATTGATTCGTTGGTGGTTCTTTGAACGCTCGTCGACAGTTTAATTTGGTTACGTACAGTGGATCACAAAACTGTTCGAACTCATGTCTGACATACCTTGTGTGTCAGTTTTTACTTGCATCTGAACACTTTCGTGGACCAGTGTACATTCAGGACAGAAAGGAAATCGAAGGTATGATAAAAAACAGACGATACGTGATTTAGCACATTTATTTCCGATCGAACATAATATTAGAAAGCGCGTCATGACGCAAATCTTGGAAGCCTTCGCTTAAATCACCGGCCGAAGCGAGCTATCGATCCTGAAATTCGAGCCACACAAGGGGTGATGGTAAAGAGGGAGCGTGAGGTCGCCGACACGGAAGAAAAATTGCGGCTCCATTAGCCACCGCGTGTCGATTAGCCGGTAGGTGTGCTTACGCAGACTCGCGCGTAAACGCGAGGGATCGGTGCGTTTGGTCCGCGTGAGTCACGTGTTCCCAAATATCGGGGAGTCCGACGGTGTCTCAGAGAGCAAAACAGCTAACCGGCTCCTACGCGGCCGATTAAAGCCCCCGGCCCATTCAGATGTTATATACGATGCGGATGCTATGAACATCGAATGCTCGTTCCACCCAGTTGACCTTTTCTCGTGACTGAACGCCAGTCTCGTTAGGTGGGAGTGCTTTTTAATATTTTTCCTCTTCATTAAAACCTGGCACGAGGCATTCGATCCCGCGACGTCGCCGTAGGCCATTTGCGTATCGCGACGTTTAATACTTCAGGTTTCGAGGATCCTCGATCCTCCGCGTTCCACTGAATGCCGTTGTGTACGTCTCGTTGCATGGGTCTAGTCGAACCGGAAGCCAGGAAAAAATGTATCCGTCTCGTCGAGACAGCCGCAATTTGCTTCGTGGATTTTCTCCCCCTCACCCCGTTCGCTTCCAATCCTTCGTTCTGTCTCGAGGTAGGACGTTTTCCCTGATCCTTTCCTTGCGCGCGTCAATCTCCGTTCCGGCACGAGCCACACACGTAGCCGAGGAGAGAGAGGAAGGAAGGAGAAGCGATCGTTCCACGGTGAGATGCAACAGTGCCGGGTTACGTCTTATAAATAGCGTCGGGAACGCGTGCGTCTCGGGGTGCTAGCAGTTAACAAACGGTAAAACTAACACCGCCTCCTACAATAACATTTCGCTCCGGTCACGTGTTTTCCGCGGCCCCGACTATTATAAGATCCACGACTGTCGTCGTCTCTTAACCCTCTCTCTCTCTCTCTCTCTCTCTCTCTCTCTCTCTCTCTCTCTGTCTTCACTGCCTCTCTACTTACTCCCGTCGTACTCGCTCGTCACGTCTACCCCGTTTGCTCGCTCCGCGTTCCTTCTCACCCATCTACCTTCCAATACCTCCGTCTTCAACGTTTCTTTTCTGCTTCATTCTCGACGCACGCCGAGATACATTGAGACGCGCGAGGCGTGCCAATCGGGAACGATCTCCTCCTCTTCTCCGTGTCTACTCACTCGCTTCCTCGAGATTTCTAGGGGGAATGGTTTCTAGCCGTTGCGTCGTCGGTCGGACGTTGATTTATGCGGCAACCACCTGAACCCCGGTGTGTGCCCTCCGCGTTCGTTAGGGTCGCAGACGGTCGCGTCTTTCGCCGGCCTCTTAACGAACGAATCGGGGACTCGGTCGGCGGGTGGTTATGCAAATACGAGCACCGCTGCCGGATCGTTCGTCCGGCTGATCGTCCGAGTCGGCCTCGCGTTATATAATGTTATGCTGGATGTCTTTTTTTTTCCTTTCGCGACCATCTCGTCCGGCTTTAATTAGGACCACCGTAAGGGGCTCCGAGATTGAACACGTTTTTTGTTTAACCTTGTTCAAACTGGAACATGCCTCATGGGAAGGGAAGGCTTGGACTGACGACGTGACGAGATAAATGACACTGTGACATTTTAGTTTTTGTCGAACGGCTATTTTTAATCGATTTTTTATTCATGTCTCTTGTTGATCCGATGCAAAGATTTGAAGGTGTGATGAATTTGTTGTTCTTGGAACTCGCGGCTGGATGTTTAGGCTTTGCTCACGATTCGGCATTGGGTAACAGAAACTGTTCGAGGAACAGTTGGCTCCGGCTAAATTGAAATATAACGGTCCGTTAACGCCTGTCCATTAACCTAATTGGTGCACATACATTGTATGCACCGGTTAAAACGTTCTGTTTGACAACGAATCTAGATACGTGCATTAACGTGGTACGTGCTAAAATATTCTCGAAGTTCGAGCATCGTATTTCTGGAATATTTACATAATTTATTCTGCATTACATGTTAACATAAAGTGAAAACGTTTATTTGTATATTAACAAAAATCTCAAGAACGACTGCAGTACTTGCGTCGTTCGGACCGTAGCTTTCTTATATACGAAGTATCATACGGTGAATGAGCTAAAAAAAAGTATTATTACGAAGAATGTATTTTCATGTTTCAGGCCGGAGTGATGCGATCCACGCAGGAGTAAGCTAGACGAAATACAAAAATGGGTCTCGTTCGACGGCCAAAGCTGCTCCCAAGCCGAACGATGGCATCCCTCTTGGCATTGCTGTTACTCGCAGTGTTACCAAACGCTCGATTAGAGTCTGCGATTAATCCGGTGGGCAACGGAGGTTCAGTGTCAGGCGGTTCCTCGTCGTCCTCTTCATCGTCTTCCTCATCATCCATGGTGGGTGTCGTTCCTGGGAACGGATCCCCTTCGGGAGGCATGGCCGGGTCCGGTAACAGCGTCGTCGGGGGTGGAAACAGCGGCGTTGGACACTCGTCCCTAGGCGGTGGAACACCAAATGGAAACGGGAGATGCGAGGAGATCACGATCCCCATGTGTCGTGGCATCGGATACAATCTGACGGCGATGCCGAACGAGTTGAACCACGATAATCAAGAAGAAGCTGGTCTCGAGGTGCACCAGTTCTGGCCGTTGGTAGAGATCAAGTGCTCGCCCGATTTGAAGTTCTTCCTCTGCTCGATGTATACGCCTATCTGCTTGCCGGAGTACACGAAACCGTTACCAGCGTGTAGGAGCGTCTGCGAGAGGGCGCGAGCCGGTTGCGCGCCTCTGATGCAGCAGTACGGATTCTCCTGGCCGGAACGGATGGCCTGCGAGCGACTACCGGCTCACGGCGACCCGGAGAACCTGTGCATGGAGCAGGACAACCATACCAGTAGCACGGGTTACGGTTCCGGTAACGGAGGGGCCGCGAGCAGCGCGCCGTTGCCACCGGCGGCACCGCCGCGTCCGACGAGGCCGTCGAAGACGACGCAGCCACCGCGGTGTAAGCCAGGCAAGAACCAAAAAAACTGCCAGCATCCCCCGGGGGAAAGGGCGAGGGATTGCGCGTGCCGTTGCAGGCCACCCCTCGTACCCCTGGGGGCGGGGGGCACGGTAATCCCGATGCCGATAAGCGGCAGCACCGGCAGCATCGGCAACGGGGCTGGCCTGGCAGGCATGGCCGTAAGTGGAGTCATACCGGCGCCGCCGATAAGCATCGCCAGGAACATAATTCAGGACATTGCCGGAGTACCGAACTGCGCGCTACCGTGCCACGGGGCGTTTCTCACCCAAGAAGAGCGCGGGTTCGCGGCCGTATGGCTGGCGTTGTGGAGCGGCCTGTGCGCCGCAAGCACGCTCGTGACCGTCACCACGTTTCTGATCGACACCCAGCGCTTCAAGTATCCTGAGAGACCGATAGTCTTCCTCTCGGCCTGTTACTTCGTCGTCTCGATCGGGTACCTGTCGAGAAGCATGTTCGGCCACGAGGAGATCGCCTGCGACGGCCCGGCGTTGAAATCGGGAGCGCAGGGACCGGGGGCCTGCGTGACGGTCTTCCTAATGATCTACTTCTTCGGGATGGCGTCCTCGGTCTGGTGGGTGATCCTCGCGTTCACGTGGTTCCTCGCGGCGGGATTGAAATGGGGCAACGAGGCGATAGCCTCGTACTCTCAGTACTTCCATCTGGCAGCTTGGCTGGCCCCCACGGTGCAGACGGTGTCCGCGTATATGGCCGGGGGAGTGGCGGGCGATCCAGTGGCTGGAGTCTGTACGGTGGCTCCGGACGGGATAAGATCGTTCATCCTGGTACCGCTGTTCGTGTACCTTCTATTGGGAACGAGCTTCTTACTCGCGGGATTCGTCAGCCTGTTCCGAATTCGATCGGTGATCAAGAGACAGCCGGGAGCGAAGGCGGACAAACTGGAGAAACTGATGATACGCATCGGCGTGTTCAGCGTTCTGTACACGTTACCGGCGGGCGTCGTGCTGGCGTGTCACATGTACGAGACGGCGTTGAGAAACGAGTGGCTCACTTCGCTGGCCTGTCCGTGCCAGCCGAGGGCGAGGCCTCTCTACTCCGTCCTGATGCTCAAGTACTTCATGGCGCTCGCGGTAGGCATCACGTCAGGCGTGTGGATATGGAGCGGCAAAACCGTCGATTCGTGGAAACGTCTGTGGAGGCGCTTGTTCGGCGGCGGGAGCGGCGGAGGCGGTCACGGAGGCGGCGGCGCCGGTATGGTAGCCGGCGTGACAGGCGTCAGCGGCGGCATCGGCAGCACCAGCATCAAGGGCGTCGTAGGTCGTGTCGGAGTTCCATATCCGCCGGCGCCGGGACCCGGGAGCGCGTTGCTTCCGCCCGGGAGCGTGGCCAGCGCTTCTCAACACCATCTCCACCATCACGTCCTCAAACAACCTCCGCTCTCGCACGTATGACGTCACCAGTCGGCGGGGGGCGACATGAACACCGCTGGCTGCGATCAGCAGCAGCAACAGCAGCAGTCGGTCCAACAGGAGAGGCCTTCCGCCCTTAGCAACTACGGGCCCATTTAGCCCTTCGCCTCGGCCTCGCGCAGGCATCTGCCGCACACGGCGCCTAACACGGCGCCGCATACGCCGCACTCGGCTGCGACCATATATTCGAGGAGGTCGTTGGCGTCGACGACGGGCCCGCTCACGCCAGCCCACGGCCTCGCGCCCTCGTACACCCAGGCCACCGAAGTCTGAATCGATCCCCATTAGCGAGCCAGCGGCCGGGGGACGTTTCACGAATTTCACGTGTCGGGGGCGTGCGGGTTTCTTCGATGCGTGATCTATGGCGTGTGGCTCTTTCGAAGACGCATCGAACTGCGTCGACGATGACTCGCGATGACGGTGCTTCTCGATTACCGGATATACGTATTAGCCCGTACGTGTCTTTGCCGATCGATCTCGAGTCATCTTATCTTCGTGTCGTTCTTGCCTGGTATCGCGCGCGGTATAAATAAGTCAGTGGTTCTTAATTCTTTCAAAATCATGGAACGCTTACAATTTCAAGGGCTCTTTCAGAAATATTTTTTAACAATGATTTTTTTAACGTTTTAATTTTTCACCGATTCTCAAATTTCGCGCGTTCCCGGAACACCGGTTAAGAACCACTGAACGAGATATTATACTGATGTTTCGTTTACCGTTTCGATAAATTTTAGATGTCTATTAAAACGTGAAACCGGTATCGCGCGATTTAAGCGAAATCCGCGGAACGCACACAAACACGTACGTACTATCAGTGGCGACACCAGGCGGCGACAATTCCGATGGGTCGCTCGAGATCGGCCGGCTTTAGTGAGATTGCGATGTCGGCGCGCGTGAGTGGAATGTAGTGTCTCGTGTAAATGAATCGTGCGAATGGTACCGCGTGACAGGGACTCACTCTTTTTATCCGTATCTATCTGTAACACTTTTCTTACTTATATATACCGTAGCGGAGTTCGTACAGTCCGCATGTCCGTCTAACGTGTATCGTCTCGTCTATTTATCTAACCTAGCCGTAAAGCTGAAGAAGTGTATTAGGTGTGAAACACAGACGTGATTAGGATATGTCGTTGCTTAAAGGTTACGGCGGTGGCCGGGCATTCCAAAACGCGTCTTTCTAGTTTCGTACATTTCTTTTTTGTTCACTTGCCTAGTCGGAGAGGGCACGCGGTCTCGAAACACGTGTTGTTACTCGCGTGGGCAGGAAGTGTAATCGGCGGAGATCGCGCGGCAATGAAAGTACCACGGACGAATACAGGCTCACCGCCGTCGATCGTATGAAGTGCGACCAGCAAGTGTATAGCAGACGTATAGAGGAGGGAAGCTGGAGAACGAAAGGTAATTGTAAATATCAAACTTAGACGTTAGGTCAAAGACACGCTGTAAATATAAAGAGGGTAAAAATCAGATGAAAAAAAAGAACGGTTTATCGGTCGCGAAATAAACGTTGTACAGAAACGCGTGATTCGCAACGATAATCTCGCGTTCCTTTCGTCTCGTGTCTTTCGAAGAAAATTTTTCTTCGCGTTATTCTTGAATAAAAAAGAACACTTGGTGCAATGAATAATGTTTACGACAATGGGGGGACGTTGGAAAACAAATAAAACGATGCTTCGAAGGAGCCGCTAGTCTTGCCACGGGGAAAGGAACGCGTGAATCGTAAATGCGTTTGCGAGTAAGAATACGAAAGGATGAGCGTGTTTGCGCTCGCTTATTATTTCGCACCTTTTTCACCGCCGAACGAAGCCCCTCCCCTTAAACTTTTACCGGTTTATATATAGTACCACGTATGTTATAACTGGCGAAAAATACGGAGGTAACAAGTGACACTTGCTCTTTCCTCTACCTTGCACGGCTTCTTGTCTAGGGACAATTCAAGCCGTGCTTTCGATACGCACACTCGCAGTACCAAACCCCCAAACCATCCCCCACCCACTCCCGATACACGTACCGATCGTACATACTCGCACATCGTAGAAAATACACTTCTGTGTACCCTCCCCCCTGAGAATAAACCGTATACAGGTAAATGGAAAGGAGGAAGGTCCGAACAATTCGTGTGTTTCTTTAATGTCCGCGCAATAGAGAAAAAAGTAGCTGTTGAAAGACAAGAATGCGAAATCGAGTAACACGCATAAACCGTTAAGTACGTAAATATATATAAATATTAAAGATACATTATAAATATATAAATAAATATATATATGTTCGCGGAGGCTTGTCGACGCTTCTGCGACACTATGTCGATATTTCAGAATTTTTGTAATCGCTGGAAGAGAGTGGGGAGGTCGAAGCAGGAGAAACGGTATGTACGATTCCCGGCGACGCGTTTCTTATCCCGTGCTCTGTTTCACGAGGCGTCCGAAAAAGGGTTGCATCGCGTGCGTACAAATTCCACCGACGTTGTTTGGACGAACGGCAAACGAGAGAGAAGGCGAGAAAGAGAAAGAAGAAAGACACACTCCTGGTTATGCAGTTCTATCTCGCGGTCAGCGTTGGCGTTTTTCCTCTTTCTGTTTTTTTTTTTTTTTTTTTTTTTTTTTTTTTTTAAAGCGAAGAAGCGTTCGTTGGAACTTCGTCGGCTCACGCGATCGGCCCGCGGTATGTCTTACGATCGGAGCAGGTGGGTGCGCGTGTGTGCACGCGGTGAAAAACGCGGACAAAAAAATCGGGGATACAAAAAAAAACAGATGGACTGATAAGAGAAAAAACGATATCTGCCTCAAGCAACTTAAAAAACAAAGTAAAGAAAAACAGGACACCCGTGTCGCATCCCGGAACGGGAACCACTGCCAAACGAAAAAACGTACACGTGTAATGTTGTAAAGTAGTGAGAGTTAAAGAACCTTTAGTGTCACATATCACGCCAAGCCGTTACGAGCGAAAACGGACAATGTCGCGTTCGTGGACGAGCAGTGAAAAAAGCAGAAAAAGTGTAAGTGAATGAAAGAGAGGGACGGAATGAGATGGTCGCGGGTGAAGAAAAAAAGGGAGAGGAGGAAAGACATAGGGAAGTAAGAGGCGAAACAGAGCGCGATGCGACTCCGGTACCGCAACGACGTCGGTAGGAATGGATTGATGCGAAAGAAACGAACGCGACGCTTTTAAAGAAACGAGAGGGAGGAGTTTATAACGAGTATTTGTAAGCCACTTTTTGTCACGATGATTGTCAATAAAATTGAAAATACTGTGTGTAACGGGTGTGTCCAGGAATTCCCTTCAAGTCGGCCAATTAGCTGTGTTCTCTTTTTGATTTTTTCTGATAGAAAAAAATGTTTGATATCCGATAGAACAAGTATGTGCATATTTTGCAGAATCTCGATAGTAGTCTCCCTCTATTCTTCTTTCGTGCGTTCTCCTCGTTCGGCTTTTGTGTTTTTTCCTCCCGAAAGTGCTATGGATTCCTACTCTGTACTTGGTCCGAATTTTACGCTCGACCGCCGTCTTTGTACAAGTTCTTTACGTTGCCATAGTAGTTAAAAGAGTAACCGACGACCGACCACCATATCGTTATAATATACATATACTGAAATCAAAATTGTATACGATTTTTAATATACTTTATTATTATTTAAGTTCCTTGCGTTGATTGCTTACGCATTCCTCAGAATCTTTCCAGATTCCCTTCGTCTCTTAAACATAGTGTTTTCTCTGCTAACGATTTTTCCCATTAATTCGATTTCCAAACAATGTCGTGTAGTTTATAAGTCCATGTTATGAAATCGTAATAGAGGTAAGTGATGAATCGATCTATTCATGATTATTCTTCGCATGCAACGAATAAGAGAAACGTTTTATTGTTATTTCATCAAATTATTATTTCATGACATAAGTGGGATTGTAGAAAGGAGTTCGAGTTATTTGTCATAGGATCATGTTTTTCTTTATTAGCATTTAGAATTTAGAATCTCGTACGAGACTCATTTAGTTGTACATACACAAAATCAATACTACATTTTAACTTAATATCTTTAATTCTTAGATTGCATTTCCTAATAAATAAAAGAATACGTATACCTTACAACTAGTATTAGGAGAAGTAATAAACATTCAACACAAAAAAGGGGGATGAATTTTAAGTTTCTATAATATTAAGTAAATCTTCGGTCCCTTAAATCGTCGAATATAAACAGGGCTCCGGAGACGCGCACTTCAGTTTATATAAAACAAAAAAGGGGCCCTTCCCTCGGTTTAAGAGGTTCGAACAAGTGGCTACATTCTTCTGTCGCGGGGTGAGACAAAGTAACCGACTAAAACGGAGGATGACGCCATACAAAGAGTACCAGCGCAAATCATTTCTCATGCATACATAAATTTACATCACTGAATATTTCTCCAAACCAATCTCCACTATTTAACTTCGTGACGATTCTTTGAACACTAAAGCACGGTATCTACCTGCTGCTTACAAAACGAATGATCCGACTCTTAGACTATTACAAACGTTTTTTCAAGCGAAAAGGTTGACACCCAAATCTCAGGTCTTTGTCTTTACGCTCCATTAGCACAGACACGTATAAAAGTACGCAGACCGATAACGGCGATTGAACGGGGTGAGAGAACCCCTGGAGAAGACGTACAATTGCCTTCATTAATATTCGGGCACTTGAGAACGGAATATCTTTCTTAACATTCCTCCGTTTTGAAATCTGCCCGAATGTTAATGAGGTTCGTAAGTACAAAGATCATTTGTAACACTCGACACACTCTTGTTAGGGCTACTGGAAATTAATGTAAACGCAGACGGTCGGTCTTATCCACGATCACTGTGAGAAAAGCGGGTATTTACACGACGACGCGGTACGAATCGGCCCGGTGAAAATCGCCGTTTAACCCGGTTGAACCTAAGTAAACTCACCCTTGAGCGTGTCCGTGAGTCATTGCCGGCGGGCGTAGTCAGCAAACCGGGGGCGGGCGCCACCCCCGCCGACGTCGTCGAATTTATGGTGCGCCGGCGAGTATCGCCCCGCCATAAACAAACCGTATTAACCGAGCCGGACGTTAACGGCCCTCCTCGTTGCTCGTCCCGGAAGATAAGGATCTCCGTTAGTCATTCACTCGTTAAGTTTAACTGGCCACGCGTTGCGTTGATTTCCCTAATTGCGGGCCCACCGCGATGCGCCTTCCGCGACGTCGATTGTCGCGCGTACACGAGCCATCCTCGGCGACGCTCGCGTGTCAGCCTTGGCCGACGTTTACTTAATTAACAGCGTGCCGCGACCACTCGCAGATGTGGCTAATTTAGTTAGACCGTTTGTCGGCTGCTGATGACATTGCCACGATTTTTCTAACAGTCCAGGGTACGTTGCTTGGTCATTAATTTCTTGCTAGATTCTTAACGTATCTTCGTTTCAATCACTTTCTGCCTATTCTGTTATCTTTACTGTCGAGGTGATTTTCTGCAAATGCATTAAAATTCTTCAAAGTAACTCTGGATTTGAAATTCTGATGTGTTCATATAGGGATTCGAGATAGAGTCAATGAGAGTAATATATTAAAAAAGTTACTCCGTTTTGAAACGTGTCCAAATATTAATAGGTGTCACGATAGGTAATAATTCTGACACAGGTGACGAGCGAAAGGTGAGGATAGGGTTAACGTCGTTTCGCGGTTGTTTAGGGTGAACGAACGAGAGACATATTACCACCGCTTCGATGATCTTTTAACGAGATCGACACGTCGTCGAGGAAGGCTGGCAGCTACGAAAATAGTCGCCCGCGCGCCATTATTTACCGTAGGAACGAGGCTCGAGTACGATTTACGAGCAGATTTGCCGAAAGGTTTCACCGATCGGTAGCGAGCCTCGTCTACGGTGATCGACGACGACTAATTGCGCCTAAGAAAACTAATTTACGGGGGCAGAAACGGTATCCGGCTACGCCCCAACTGTTTGTCGAGCAGCAAGCGGACGATTCCCTCGTGGCGCGGCGCGTAGTGAAGGACTTCAAATTTTTGGGGACCCGTCTAACATTAGATTCTATCGTGCACGCGTTTCCCGTTTTCCGTATTCCCTTTGAACGTACACGAGCATATATATTTATTGCTGCTCGTCCGCTTCAAATCCAGGCCGTCGTAATAACGACACTTATCAGCATGCTATCGCTGAAACTACAGAAAACTTCTATCTTTCATCCGGATTTTAATTAAAACACTCTATTAATTAAAGAGTAGCACGGCGTGTACTTCAATTTGAAAACATGCGTTTCTGAAACGGCCGGGTTTAGCGAGAAAGTTCTCACGCGAGTGTTGAAAGGACGGGAAGCCTCCGGTCTATTTATACGTATAATCAGTAGACGAGTCAAAGAATCGCTGCGCGTTTCTGGAAAATCGTGGCGCGTGCATCAAAGAGTGATGAAAGAAAATTCAATTTACATACTTCGTATCTTAATACGTGCTACTGGTAATTTATACGGCGATAGAGTATCGCCCCAGTGGCGATTAATCTATCCTGAAATGAACGCGAGAGCGGCAATCCCAACTGTTGGGACGACCCTTGACACGGCGATAAGGAATGGTCATGTGGTCACGTTTGTATACGTCATAAATTGTCTACACGCGCGAATATAATGAGACCCGTGGTAACGCGTAATCGGACTTCGAGCTGACTTCGTCTCTCTATCTTGTTTTCATAAGAATCGCGTGCCCGTTGTGAGAACTGAATTATGGTACGAGAGTACATCAAAGTTTTTCTTAACAATGTAAAATTGAGTTAAGTACAGACGTCTTACTGATAGGTAGGAATAATGTTTCGTACTCATTTTGCTTATTAGATATGTTGTATCGTAGTTACATTTTAAATGACCATCAATTTGCCTCCTCAATTATTGAAGTATAATTCTCTCTTACGTGCATCTGCCTTAATATTTATATTTAAATATCTTGTCATAATAGCTTCTGGATGTAATATACATATAGAATCTTCGAAATATGTAGGCATAAATCGTTTATCACAATCCAATCATATATTTAATTTTCAATATTTCCGAAAACTGACACTTGTGAGTTTAAATCTCCGATTTTTTTAAAACTCGAAACGTAATAGCTGACGAGTACAAGAAATTAAGGTTTGTGGGTGATCGGAGTTGTAAGCGTGGCTCCTTGTAAGTGCGGGGCACAAAACGGAAACCGTTTATCGGGTAATAAAATGGCTCGTTCCGGTGGCCATAAACGACCGCGACGCATAGCTTACCCTAAAACCATTCATGAACAAATTTACCCGCGGTACAAGGGTACGTCGATTGCGCTGCACTCGTGAGCGCATCGCTTCCTACATAGTGCGCGTACACCGCATAATATGGTACGACCGCGGAGGAAGGGCTCGTCGAAGGTCCTCGACTACCATTCAAATTCGATTCCCTTGTACCGTTAATCCTCCTTTGCGATGCCAACAGCTGCGTGCCGTTGCCGGATACGCAGCTGATCATTAATTATTTGCGACCACGGATTAACGATCCCGAAACGAGCGCGGTTCGATTAACGTCGTTTCTGTTACTCTTCTCGCGATTCGTTGCCACTTACGGGGAATTAAACGAGGAGAGAATATTTGGCCATAGGGTGGGTGTAGGAGGGTGTATTAGAGGGTGCGAGTATAATGCTTAATAAGGAAAAAGGATTTCTCGTGGAAAGCGGAAATTATTTATTACTCTGAAATGATACGTAAGTAAATCATTTGGTTCCCCAGGAATGAAATCTAACTTTTTAATATATCTCATAATTGTTACAATTTCGATGCTTGATCATTGTTTTTATAAGAATATCCTGGGTTAAAAAATAAAATTAATGACTAGTTTTCTATCACAGTCAGAAGTTGACAATTTTTAAATTCACTCGAGCACTCAGAATTTCACACAAGCGATGTATCGTTTATTGAAGTAAAAGCAAATATTTCCTCATCGATAATCATTTAACTGCTCGGGCGCCTCGCAGTTTAACAAACAAACGCATACGCTCGCATAACATATTTTTCACATTTCGCGTTCCACATTCAGCCCCTCAAGCGGGGGGTTATCGACGCTCAATTAAAGATCACCCCACGCCGGGGCTCGTGTTGTGTGCCGGGGCGTCGGAACGAGGCGGCTACTGGAATAATAGCGGGCTCGTAAAGCCTGCGGTTGAAACAATATTTCCACAGGGGCTGCCGCCCGAAACGGTGCGCGTCGTAAGCTCGCGATATCGGTGTTTTTCGACGCGGTTAATCCGCCGTCCACGGGACGGACCGACCGACCGACCGGTCATTGACGTCCTCCGGCTCCCGATCGATCCACGGAAATTGCCTCCGTGTACACGGACATTGGCAACGCCACTGTTAAATATAGATTCGAATTTGTGCCTCCGTTCCGACCGCGTTATCTCCCGCGATGTCGCGGCCGGAAACCTTCACCGAGAACGGCTTCCGTCATGGTCGATCGATTTTCTATTGTGAAACCGACTCTCCCCTTCTCTGGTGGTATGCCGGTTAGGGATGTTCAGTATTAAAGTGGTTGGACTCGAGCTCGTACAAGCTTTTCGATTAGATGGAGGAGATACGTAAGGAAAAATGAAAAACAAATGCAAGTGGAATATGTACAGAGTAGTA